AAAAAAAAAAAAAAAAAAAAAAAGATAAATAAGGTAGGGATTAGGGGAGGCGTAGCACGGTACCCTTTAAAGCTTTACAGAAAAAGCTGCGGGGATGAAGGTTAAAAAACCCTAAAGTAACAACACAAAATATAAGGCTTGGCAGAAGAAACCCACAGTAAGTAGGTATTCAAGTTCAAAGAAAGTACTGGGAAAGATGGATGGACAGAACGATTATGCTTTTGTAGGAAAAAAACATCACAACCCTGAAGGACCAGCAAATGGCACAGAAAACTAAGCTGGGTCATAGGCAGTGAAGAAGATATTAACTAAACCAAATTAATATTTTAGAATCTCACAGAAAATAGTCATTTCTTATGCCTGTGACTTCTGAACTTTAAATCCAGAATACACACAGAAGCAGAACTTTGAGAAAGAGTGCCTTAAAGCTCCAAAGGACAGTCCCAGCGGACTGGGGAAGGTGGGCAGAGCAGGTTTGTTTCTATCACGTGGAAAAGAGAGAACAAGCCAGCATCAAATAGAGCATATGACTGGAAAAAGCAGTGCTGCAGCTTCCTCAGAAATTTAAGGGGTCTTGGATGCCCAACAGGCCTGTAACAGGTCCTTTACAGCATATTAAAGTTCACAAAGCTAGGAACTGGACCTAGAACACCGTTCAAAGCTGTGTATCAATACAATTGTTCTTCCCGCTTTGGTATACCACCAAGTTGATCTCAGGACCATAAGAGCTGAAGAACAAACTGATGTGGAAACCTTGTCAGCACTTAGAGGCATCAAGCACCAGTGGAAAGAACATCTTAGAAGGGTAAGGTATTTGCAACTCAAAAAAAACCAAACCCATACCTCTTCAGAGATCCACTTGCTAAATAAGACTCAGCAGAGAAGCTTCTCCCTCCATTTTGGTTGTCAAAAGCACAGGAAAAACAAGGTGGCTTTGAGTTCTCATTCTCCACTTCCATTGCCATCTCCAAGCTTTCAGTGAGAAAAAAGGGTGTGGAAGAAGCCTCAAAGTCATCGTCCATTGTTTCCACCTGATCCACAAAACATACAGATAAATTAAAAAACACTCATAGTGTTTCTTCACGTAATTTTCTCATTGTTACAACTCCCCATAATTGTTCAGCTCAAGTGAGGACCCAGATCTGACTAACTGTAACATCAGCTTCATCTTCCATCAACCTGTTTCAGGGATTCACATCATTAAAAAGCTAACACTACAAAAACAAAAAAAGGTTCATTTTCTTCTGGTTTAGCTCTCTAAATTGACTAGTCATGAGGGTACAGGAGCACGACGGTAAAATAAGAGGTAGGATTACATTACAAGGCACAGGCAAGTGACTTTTGTCAACACTTGCCAGTGTAGCTATGCTATGAAAACATCGTTCATTTCGGGCTCCCAGCTGTCCACAACTTTAAGGCAATATTACAGCTCAAGTTCCTTCTAAGAAACAGTAAATACACCCCATGCGATAATTACAGAACCCCCACTGAAGTTTTAAAGCTCAGAAAATTACTCTGACATAGCCCGAGTTGGAAGTTTCTAAAAAGTCTGATTTCCCAAGAATCTGAAAAAAGAGAAGCAAAAGCAAAGCGGGAAAGAAGATCACGTCCAAAAAAAGTTCACAATATACTTGCCACTAGTAAATGGATATTTTATACAACATATTGAAAGACTTTGAACTAGGCAACAGATGCCACAGAGTTCTACAATAATATGCATGCAATATATCTAAAATTATTAGCTCTAGATCAAGTTTTAAGTTTCACTGCTGGCACTTCTTGATACCATTCTTGTAGAAATCACTTCACACTGTGGGTAGAGGTTGGTAATAGAGAAGCTTGACCAACAAATGAGCTCAAGGAAAAAAAAAGAAATTTTTGTGCTACTTTTCCCCATTCATTGACATTCCTGAGGTGCATCAAGTGAAAGGCTGACTTCAGTGCCTCAGTTTACAGCTGGAACCGGTGTATGGCTGCGTTAGCACAGCCGGCAAGGCAGAAATCAACAGCTGAGGGGCATATGCTAAGTCAGCAGAGTTTCTAAGGAAAATCCGATCAATATCACCCCGCAGGTTAAAAAACATTGGGGAAAAAAACAGCACGAACAAGGGCAACTCTTCAGGGTGGCAGCCCTCGTCAGCTCTGCGCTTGCACATCGCATCCCTCACCCAGCATAAGCAATTACTGATTTCTTCAAGCGCTGGCCGTGCTGGAGAACGACTTCCCCGGCCGCCGGGGAGCCGCCGCGGCCATCACCCCCACCCGGAACGCCCGCGGCCCAGCGCCGCTCCCCGCTCCCCAGAGGCGCTGCCGGGCCGGGCCGAGGGGTCGCACCAGCCCCGTTAGACCGCGGCGGGCCAGCACCGGGACGTGACGGGTCGGGGGCAGACAAGGGGGTGTGGGTAGGGAGGGCAGCCCGGTACCTACACGCTGGCGGAGACACCACTCTTCTTCCGCGCCCGGACGCTTTTCCGTACGTCCCGCGCCCCAGCGCCAGCCCCGCAACTGCGCAAGCGCCACGGCGCCCATTGGCCGCTGCCCGCTCCTCCTTCCCCCGCCGCCCGCCTCTCCTCCGCCCCGGGAGCCGGCGCGGGGGGGGTCGCCTGCACCGCCCGGTCCCTTCCGCTCTCCCCGCCGCCCTCGGGGCGGAGCGCAGCGCAGCCCGCCAGGCGGCTCCCCGCGGCCCGTGGCTTGGTCGGCCTCTCCTTCGCGGGGCGGGTGCTGGCCCCGTCCCGCCAGTTCGCGACCCGCGTTGGGGCTGTGCCCGCCGCCTGTAGGGCCTCCCCCGGCGCGGGCGGGCTCCGCCGTGGCCCACAGGCCCCGCCGCGCCCCCCTCAGGGTGAGCTCCTGCCCGCCCGGCTTCTGCCCCTTGCTCCCCTCACCCGTGTTGTGGCCCTATCTCTCAGTTCTTCTGGTTCCCAACGGGCGTCTTAACTCGCCCGCTTTTTGTAATTTAAGTGGGGTTGTCTGTCAGTCTCTTCCCCGCCTGCCCCAGCCCGTGGCACTCTGGCAGCTCCCCTCTGTGGGTCCCAGCCACCGCAAGTTGTTCCCGGCCACTTCTGTCACCTGAACGCCACCACCTCGCCACAGTTAGTAAGTGCCCCAGATCAGGCTGCTGCTCTTATCTCTCCTTCAGCTGTCTGCCACCTTTCTCCGGTTTCCTTCTCGGCTGAGCCTGTACCTGAGCTTCATTTTCCTCCTCAGCCACCTGGGCTCACTCCTCCCCACTTCCTCACAGCCAAGGGCAGGAGGTCCTGCTCTTCCTTAGTGCCCTACAGATCCTGATCCAGCCTTGTACCCTGTCAGGTACCTCTCCCGTCTAGAGACACGGGCAATTCTTCATCAAGCATGGGAAGCAGTGTACAGTACATTTTAAATTCAAGCAGGGTTTTGCTCTTTTCATTTACTGAAGCGCCTTCGTTTGGTGTGACAGTCACTGCCGAGTAGGGGCCAGGGAGAAAGTCCCAACACCTCTGCCTGGCGTAACTTAGCTTAAAATGCATCCTGTGGAACCGAGCAGCTTCTGCATCTTTTAAATAATTATTGTAGTATTTTAGATTGCCTTGGTTTGATTTCATTTCAAAATGCTCTTCCGTTTTTGCCTGTTTTTTGTTTTTGTTTTTTTTTTTGGTGTAAATTAGCAGCAGTGCATGAAACTTTTGTTTCTAACAAGAAAGTTGCTGTAAAAAGTTTTGCTGTGGCTGCTACAGCTTGCTGTGAAAACTCTCCTGTGATTAAAAATGCTTCGTTTGCTCCTGTGTCTGTAAGAATCCCTCATTTCCTTCTTTAAATTCCTGTCTAATTAAAAAAGCAGTACATCATGGTTAAATAAAACTGTACCCAGGATAACCCTGATTTCCATATGCAGATTTATCTGCACTGACAGCCCCCTCTCCCTCTCTTAGTCTTTCTGTTTCCTCTCTCCCTCCCTCTCTCTCCCTCTTTCTCTTCCCCTCTCTTTCTCTTCCTCTCTGTCTTTTTGTCTCTCTTTATGTCTATTGCATTATGCTTGAATAATTTTCAGCTGGTTTTTTTTTTTTTCTTTCCTCTCGCACGCACATGCTAAAATAACTAGACAAAGATGCAAGGTGGTTGCTGCAGTCCCTGTCTCTAGGACAAAACCAAGAAAGCTCGGGATTGCAATGCCACCTTTCCTTTTTTTTTTTTTCTTTTTCTTTTTTTTTTTCCCCACCCATGCTCGGTGATTAAACTTACCCAGGATGGGGAAGAAAAAGGAGCTGGAAATTAAATAGGGTTAAGGAAAAAGCCCATTGCAGCAGCTGCAGCCAGTGGTGTCTGCTGCCAGATGTGCTAAGGTTCCTAGGGTCCTTGACACTAAAAGGCAGTATTAAAATATTTGGAGACAAAAGCTGCATCTTCAGTGATCATTTTCTTTATTTAACATGGCAGCAAGCACCATGTGGGGGAAAATCAACACGCTGGATGTTCAATTGGACTTTTCTCCTTTCTAGGATGAAAGGATGTTATCTATCCCGTGCCAAGAGGGAACTGAGGTAAGAGAGCTGATCCAGCTCCTGCTTTTTCCTAGTATATTTCCTAAGCGTCTTTTGTGAAACAACCTGTATATATATATGTATATATTTATATATTTATATGTTTGTATATTTATGTACTAGGTTTCATGTCAGTGCATGGTAATGTTTTTTTTTCTGTCTTCACATCAACCCAGAGAAAGTTAATTCACTATATATATTCAGAGCTTGTTTGGAAGGGTCGTTTTGTTGGGGTTTTTTTTCCAAATACGTTTTTGTTTCCAGAGAGGACTTCAGCAGTGACATCATGGTCGACTGCTGATATTAAAACCGATTTTCAAAGTCTTAAAAAAAACCAACAAACCAGTAACTTTGTGATAAGAAATTGTGCTGGAGATTCATATGCTCTATTTTTCAGTTGCACTCTAAATATTGGAAGTCTTATTAAAGCGATAGTGAGATTTTTTTTATTATTATTATTTCTAACACAGAAGTGATGAATGCTGCATAATTAAGTACAGTATTTAATTTGGCTGTTGTGAAGCAAAAGAATAAGGTAATAATTTTTATTGTACTAATCAGACTCAAGATGTTCTCTGTGTTAATTGGGTTAAAAAAATTGCAGTACTTATTAGAAATTCTAATTTCACAATGCAGCACTGACAATAAGCTCAGCCAGTGAATTATTCACATCTTTAATTTGCTCTCTTAATGACAGTGTTCTGTAATCAGAGTGCAGAGACTGCTTCCTATGCATTATGTATGATGTTCAGGACTTAAATGCAGGACATTATGAAGCCTCTCAGTGGCTCAGTAATTAGTTTTCCACAAGACAGGGCTTAGATATTCACAGATAAAAGTCTACAGTTGAGATAATGTTAAGGTGGTGACTCATGCTAACAAAAGCGGGGAAGTTCAAATTTAATGCTGAAACTGCTTTCCATTCTCCCTCATTGTGCGTAGGTGCAGGGGGAGGGGAAGAAAGTCTTCCAAACTAGCCCGCCATGGTGAGTACACTGCGGACAGCCCAGGGGGGGCAAACCGGGGGCTCATTTCACTTTGGAGTCGTGTTTTTGGCAACTTCGCTGATGGGAGGGTGGAAGTGAAGTTGCATTTAGTGCCTCTTTTTAAAGGCTGTGAAAAGGGGAATAATGTACACTCCAGCAGAGAGCAATCTCCAGTACGAGAGATTAAATGTCTTCTAAAGGACATTTGTCTGAAGGACAGGTGTTTGTAACTTCTATCAAATTGGGATATTTTGAATGGAAGCTACTTTCTTATGAGTAGAAACTTTGAGAACACCTGATGCTTGCTACGTTGCTGTTGTACCTATTTCAGCTATCATGGTCTTTACTGAATACATATTTTAGAAAACATGCTATTTTTCTAGCAGCTTAGTTCTCACCATCCAAAACATGAATCATAATGCAGGTTTGTTCTTTTTCCACGAATTGTTTACATGGTGTTACGTCAGGTGATTTGAATCTAGGGGATATGCATGCTTATGTAATTTTCCTACTTCTGTATGCTGCTCATTATAGGATAAAACCCAAGAATACTGAAATGAAGTTGGAAAATGTGACTTTTTCCATACTTAGTTGCTAGAATGGCAGCTGTACATCTGTCCTGAGTTCTTACATCAGAACAATCATAAATTTTTACTGGAAACAAAATCTGACTAGAGAAGGTTATTTACTTATTTTGTGTTAACTTTCCAAAGACTACTCTGAAATAAACATATTATTGTGCAGTGTTCACAGGATCGCCGTTCTAATTATTAAAGATGGTCTACCAATATAAGTTTTAAGCTTAAATTAAGAAAAACCCACTAAAGGTCCTAATTTGACACTCAAGTACAGATATGGGATTAAGAGTTTTGAGGACGTCTAGATTTTTGAAGCAAAATATTTCAAAGCTAATTCCTTTAAAAATTTTTCACCAAAGACTACACCTGGAATTTGGTGTTATTAGCAGCTGTTGTTAGTGTTGTCTGGTCTTAAAGGCCATGGGACAAGTTACTAAGTCATTCCTCTTAGTAAACAAAGTGGTATATACTATGACCAGATTAGACATCATATTTGTGTATAGTCCAGTCCTGAAAGTAATTATCATTGAACTATTGAATAAAGAAGCTCCAGATTAGATCGATGTAGGTAGGTGATGCACAGCTAGAAGATTGCATTAGAATCAAGAAATTGATTGGGTCTTTTGCAGAATATGGCTTTCATTCCAACTCAAGATCATAATTACATTCCAAATACCACAGCAAGTGGTACTGTAATACCATGTCACTGTCACTACATACCTACATTTCTTTGCTCACTTCAGCGTAGAGTCATACAGTTGAAAAAAACTTCAAGAAGGCATCATGCCCACTCTCCCTTCAAAGCCAGGATCAATAAAATCTCTCTTTTTTAATGAATGCTTGCCTGTCTTTGTAAAGATTTGTTATGATTACTTACTCAAGTAATCTATTCCAGCATTTCACTGGTCTTCCCATTAGAAAGTTTTTCCTGATTTCTGGTATTAAACTTAACATGCTGAAAGTAAATTACTCGATCCTATTACTTTTTGCACAGTGCTGTGAGAAACACCGGCTCACACTTAGAATTTAAAAAGGACAAAATCACCGAAGCAAAGGTATAAAAATTTATTATACGAAACAGTGCTGAATTGGGTGCATCTCAAAGCAGAGGCACACCAATCCTTTAGTTTTTAGATATTTTATACCCTTGTCCTGGCCGCCTGAGTTACTGTCTCTCTTCTCATTGGCTGAGAAGTTGGAGCTCACATTCTTCCCGACCACCTGACCTATTACAGATCTAGTTTACACCTTTCTACCTTACAAGGCTCACCCACCTACTCTACAAAATCATTATCCTAAACACACCTTTAATTAGTTGATTACGCTACACGATATTTCACCGTCTTTGCTATCACCTACTGTCCAGTGTTAGTAGTTGCAAGCACCCTGGTGGTCGTATCCTCATCTTCATCAGCCACCCTCTAGATGACCTTCATCCACTTGTCACTCTTCACAGTCCTTTGTCCACTTATCAGTCTGCCATCGGCCTGGCTCTCTTCACCTAGATGACTTCCCCTAGACCAGGACCCCTGGACAGCCCCAGGGCTCTTCTAAGGATTAGTTTGGTACAATGGGTGAGACTCCACCATCACCTGGCCTCCTCCGTCAATACAGACATACTAACAAAAATATATCAATTAGCTGAAGCAAAACTCAGCCCGTTTCTCACAGTGCTTACAGGGAATTTATTTTCCTCTTTGCAGCAGCCTTTTACCTCTTTGAGATTCTTAGTCATGTTTTCACTGTGTCCTTCTCTTAACCAATCCCAATTTGTTGTTTTCTTCTTCATAGGAAAAAAAAAAGGTGGTGGTTTTTTTTTTTTCCTTGTACTTCATGAATTCTTGTTCCTCTTCTCTGTCCTCTCCCTGTTTCTTCTTTTTTGAAATGCACTGCTCCGGGCTAAGGCATGATATTCCAACTCCCATATAAGTTCTCTATTTTCATTTAATGAAGGGTAGTTTGTCACTTCTGTTGTTTTCTTAAGAAAATCTTAACAACATGACTTAGACGTTAGGGGTGCAATGACATTTGTTCATCCAGGGTACAATCTAGTACAATATGAAAAGATAAAACATGTTTGAATAGCTTTTTAATTCAGAGATTTATGGTCCTAGCAGAGGAGGATTCATGAACATATTATCCAATAGCCTTAACTCTCATGGTAAGTGCCTGTGACTGACCTGATTAATGATGTCCAGATATGAACTGTCATGCTGAAAAGAATATCAGATGTGTTCAGTCCTCAGAGGATTGTTTCAAGAAGCATTAACGGAGAGTCAAAATTTTAGCTTGTGCTCCTGTTATAAAGTAGCTTGGATGGCCAGAAGTTGTTAAAATTTGAACTTCTGCACATAAACCCAGCCAGACTGGACAATCTGAGTTTGAGGCACTACAACAGTCAGGTGAGAAAACTTTTTAGTGAAAGTGGCACAGGTGTTAGTGGCAACCAGAAAATAAGGCCCAGGGTTAACTGCCGCAAAGATAAACAGTATGTTTTAGTTTAAAAAAAATAAATCTTAGAAAGCTAGCCCATTCTAACTAGCCCAGCAGATTCATTCTTCATCTGAGCTATGTATCTGGGAAAGAGCAAATTGTTGTCTACCCAGTCTGTTAGAGAGAAATGGGAGGTCAATTCATATTTAGCTCCGAGGAAGGAGGAGGCAACGGTCATTCCTAGGTCAGAGGAAGACAATTCATACTATCCCTGAGTTGTCATGGAGGAGGAGAACAACATTTCTGAAGCCAAGAGGGAAGAGTCATGTGTCTGAAGAATTAAAGATGACTTGCGATGTTTCCAGGGGATCAGGATTAATATAACCTGATCATGAAGACGTGGTGGCTACCAAAGAAAATTTTAAGGACCTTTATGTGATTATGCAGACATGTATTTTATATATTTGTAGTGTAATCCTTTTACAGTCTTCTTACTGGCCTGTAACTTCCCATGTTCAGGAATATTGCAAGTTTTTTTGCGTGATCTGATTCATATTTCTGTATTTGTTCTTTTATCAAAAAGCTAAGAAAATAGTTTTAACTCAGTGCAATTTTTAGTGCTATCTCTAAAGTTAACAAAAGTTAACAAAAATCCATCCATAATATATTTCCAGGAGTAGTATTTTGTGCTTTTATTTGTATTGCTCCAGGCTCAAGTACCATTATAAATATTAGGTTCTGAAATGTTATGATGAGTTAAGCATTTCCAAATGTCTTCTCTTAGTCTAGCCTAATAATGCACTCCCTTCATGTGCATAATTCCCATGAAAACCAGTACTACATTCTAGTAGGAATAATGGACGCATATGCCAGGCTATCTCCCTTTTGAGTCATTTTTTAAACTCGATTGACAAAGAATAAGGTTAACCAAAAGAGACAAATATTGAGAGTGGAAAGAGAGTTTTTGATAATGTTTTGAATTCCAAATTTATCTGTTTCTCCACAGAAAGATACATGCCAATGGAATAACGGTAATCATAGAAATCTCAAATGCAGTTACATTCACTAGTGCTTTCCAGGAAATATTTTGCAAGTAGATCATATGCATTCTAGTCGGTAAAATTCCATATAATTGACTCGATATTTAGAATTCCAACCTATATATAAACCTATGTATATATTATATAAAGTAGAATAGCGATAAATATTCATACTATAAAACCCAGTTTGGGCTTTTTTGCAAAGTCAAACTAGAAATAGCAGAAGGTACTGTATGAGTTCACATGCTCAATCTTCTATAAAATGTAAATCCATAAAACTTTGATGTTCTTATCTGCATCCATAGCAGGCCAGAAAAAATAGTAGTAAAAATACTCAATACTGCACAGAAGCATCTTGCTGCTTCCAACTGGCTTCTCCTCTGTCTCATCATCTATACATACTTTCTGTACCTACTCTCCTGCTAGGAGCTACTTCGTATCCTCATTAAACTCCAGCTTGCCTTGCTCGCCTGCTAATTTTTCAGCCATTCTTATTAAACTTTCCCCCATGCTTGGTTTGAAGCTCAGGAGGCTTTTACTGTTCCCAAAGAATCCCTCCTTAAAACTCATGTTACGTTGCTGTATGAGTTGACAACATTTAGACTGCTGATGTCCTTGCTATCTCTTCCTATCACACACTGGTTTTTCATTGTTTTCTCAGTAGTATCCCATTTCTTGTCTCTATGTTTAGATTGCAAGGTCTCTGGTGAAAACACTGTTGTTCTTTTTTCTGAACTTGTAGAGAATGTAGAACAGAGGGCTTTTAGGCTCTGTCTCAATACAATAAATAATCATAACAGTACTAATACAAATAATGTGTGCAGTTAATAATTTTAAATGCTACCCTTTTAATTCCTAGTAACATAGACAGACTTTTCAAGTCCGAAATACTGTTTCCTGTTAGGTTTGTTGGTTTGGTTTTGTTTTGTTTGTTTTTTTTCCCTAGGAA